TAGTAGCTCTACTATCAAACATTATCTTAATATCTACATTCATTTATGTCTAAATATAGTTGTTCAAAAGCCTTTGGTAAATTATTATTATTATTATACTTCAACTTTTGAGTAGTATGTCACATGATCGTGAATATGTACTGAAACCAGTGGCATATCCACCAGGGTAGCAATTGGGCAATTGCCATCCAAACGAAATTTTATTGCTACCTATTTCTTTTTTAGTACAGGCAATTGCCCATCGTAAAAAAATAAGAAAATTTGTGTACAGTTAAAGATTTGAGGACTGTTTTCTTTCAACACATTTGCTTGCGGCGAGATTTAATCAAGTGATTTACAAAAATCAATCTTCAATGTCTTCTAGCTAAAGAATGNATGGAACAATGCTTGTTGCTTGTCATTGCCCAATGTAAGAGAACAAACTAATACGTATCATTGTGTGATCGATGAAAGAAGATTAACTGAGCTTTTTCGTTGCCTAACGAAAGAGAAGGAAGAGACATTGATAATTTTTCGGCGAAAAAGGATAAAATAATACTCACCCTCACCCACATCCTTCTTCAAATAAAATATTCAAATATATGAAATTGAAAAAATAGATTTACGAAACACGGGGAAAAGCAGCGAATTCATCTGTTAACGTAGGATGACTACAACTTTCTCTTCAAATACACAACGACTTCTGTAATACGCATCATTTTTTTAAATTATTGCCCACTATTGCTACTCATTATAAATAATTTAGCTGGTGAATTGCCACCTACTTAAAAAATCCTGGCTACGCCACTGACTGAAACTATCAAATACTTATAGAAATTATATTTCGATCTAAGATATTCGTAAAATTTTCTGCCATTTGCGTTATGTTTTTTCTTCACGATGAAATTCTAAGAACAAACAAAAAGTTTTATTGAAAGCAATGTCGAAACTGCTTTAGTTACACTTGTACCATTAACGACAATTTGAATGGCTATTTTTATCATGGGTTATTAATAAAGTGTGTTCGTAATAATTTACTTCTTGAATGTCAAAAGTCGTTATTTCTTACAAACCTAAGAAAACAAAACGAAACATTCAACATATTTAATTGTTGTTGTTGTTCTTGTTGTCGTTTTACTTAATTTTGATATCACACTCTTTTATTGATTGAAACGGAGAGAAGATTCTATATCGATTAATATATTTTGATAGAAATGTAAGCCTATTCATAAATCGTTTTCTAGTTAACATGCATATTTGTCTGACTGAAATGAAGAAAAACTTCATATGTATTTTTCTACACGTTGTAGTATTTGCTGATCATTGACAAATTCTTATTATTCAAGTCATGAAATGAGAAGCGTGTCTAACCGTGAAACTCGTTAACATACTAGTGAATAGAAAACAGGAATTATGTGCTCGGTTTTGCCAGTCTACGCTCGGTTACAACCGGAACTGTAAAAACTCAGCTATTGGATTTGAGCAATCATTTTCTCGTTGCAATTTTTTATTGTTTTTACTAGATTTCCAAACGGACATGACGTCTTGCCAGCAGAAACCTGACGGGAACTCACTGAATCATATTCTATATTCATTAATCTGAGTAGTTCATCATTAATAATTATTATATTTAAGATGAGAATAAAAAAAAACTTTTCTTTTACATTTGATTATATTTCGAACGAGAAAAATCGTACACGATAAAATGATGAATCCAAATCGTTCATTTGAAATGTTGTTAGTCATGGTATCATCAATAGAAAATCATGAGCATTTAGGTTAGTTAGATCGCTTTTTCTTTGATAATAAGCATAATCATTAACAGATTCTGTACGAATTTGATCAGCTCGATTCATTTCTCGTAATATAATTATGGTACAGATCTTAAATCAATAAATTTATTATGCATAACTTAAGCGGGAGGGAATTCAGTTTATCTGATCTCATCTCAAAACGAAAGCTATAGAATATTAGATAAATAATCACATTGAAGCATCGTCTATTGCAAACAAAAAATGCTTTTATGTACTCCTTTTTTTATGCATATTTTATTTATTACTTAATCTCTCCAGATCTATTTTCTAACATCAATTTCAAAATAGTTAAAATATTTTTTAAGCTTAAATTAGACTAACAAAATGAATTTTAACATTATTTTTTTTTATAGATAAAGAAAAAACAGAATCAAAATAAATCTCAATAATGGTCTTAGATGCGTCTAAATAGCTTATATTTTTGCTAATGGATATTTTAATAAATGTATACATTTGGTATTTGTATTTGTATTTATATTAATGTTAATAGAAGAAACATGCGCATATATAGTATGCATCGAGCATCGAGCATTGACAAAGATTCCGATCGATACATACACGATTGGCTTGGCAGATAAAAATAGTTAAGTGTTATTTTTTTTAATTTAAAAGTAAGTGAGCCAGAGTATTTCGACGACTAGGGACATTTATTATTTAATAGAGAAAAGCAATTCAATTATAATCGACTTCCGGATGCATGACGCACATTTTTTTTAAATATGCACGTGAAGAAATGTGCACCGTGCTTTTTATTAAAATTCTTACCGGATAAGTTTTGGCATGTTTTTTATCAGGAACACAACTCTAATAAAAGTACCTTTTCAATATAGAAAAAAATCCTGAATTCTATTGAAGAAAAAATTAATTATCAATCCTATCAATTCTTGCTCAACTGTTATTAAATGTTCAACTCATCAATCATTAACAGCTCATATAAGAATAATGAATGATTAAGAGGTTGCAATATTTAAAAACAAAAGAATTCTATCATATTTTTTTGTTCTTATGTCATGTCCTGAACTGCCCGTATTATAAAAATTTCGAAAAAAAAAGGTTTTCTTAATTGCTTGTTATTGTTCCTTTTTTCAAAAGATTATAAGCCGATTACCGTTGTACTACTACTTTGTCGTCAGAGCAATATTTCTTTTTTTTTCTTCTTATCATGAATAAATAACACTTTTGACGCCATCCGATTATTTACGTAAAGGTTCTTTCGAGTTATTTTTAGAAGAAATTTAATATAGAATAACTTATCAATTAAATTCATAATTGATTTGAGAAATACTTTAATTCATGTGAACATATCATAAAATTCAACTGAGTACAGCAATAAAAATTTCTATCAAATCATGTTTGACTTAATTTTTAATCTAATTAATATTATTTTAACATCCGTAAACTGTAAGTATCATTTTTAAGGATAGCAATGACATCTATGGTCAAAATATATTTTATTGGCTATTATCTTCTTACAAAGGCTAAACAATGTGATTGGACATAATGAGTTGATGAGACAAAGAAAGAATGGAATGAAAAAAGAATCACAATCCCAAAAAATAAAACAAATAGAGAAACAATCAAAAGAAAGTTTTCCTTTTCTTTTCTCTCTTCGTTTTTGTTTTATATTGTTATTCCATTCATTTGACTCATTTTAAGTATTATTTGTCTGTTTTCCTTTCTTTTTCCTATTAACCTTGTCGGACTAGCCAATCGACTTTGTATGCTAAGAGAGAGGCGAATGAAAATTTTTGCTTTAATATACGCATCTGAAATTTATCATATGCCTATATTATCGCTTTTACAAAACATATTTAATAAGTTAAGCAGATTTAATTAACCGTGTTTTTCTCTTTTCTTCCATTCAAACATATTTTATGCATCAGCCATATTGGTACTATCTAACTTATAGTTGCCTTATTTTTTTGTAAACTATATCAGAGCAAGTAATATTAGGCGTTTGAATCAGCATGAGTCTCGGTCAGGATTTTTTTTCTTTCTTTTCTTGTGGTATCACAGTAGCTTACACTAACAAAAATATACATTTCTCTGCAATTTTGCTCTGACGTTTCTGTATGTAATTTCTTGTCAGTTCCGATTTTCACACGAACATATATATATATATATATATATATCCACTTGATAGTATTATCATAATCAGAACGATAGTCTCTACAAGACTTGATACAACGACGAAGAAAGCGAGAGACAATCTTTCATCGACTTGATAATAACGACAGCTAGCAAATACTGCTTCCTCTTCTATACGCTGGTAAGTTCTTGAGAAAGAAATGCTCATACTGCGCCCTCGTGATGTAATAATGATGTTAGGAAAGCGTTCGCATTCGTGTGCCATCTCGACTCAAGCTGTCGCATACACGCACATATGCGCATCATTTGACTTCTTTTTGTATTCTACACGGATCGAGACAATGTGAGTAGTTACCATGAAAAAAAAATCTATGCAACTTCACAATAACTTGCTACGATAGCTATTTTACATAATTAATACTATGCGACAAAATTCATTGTTTAGTAGCTGATCATATGCATAGTTCTATTGTTGATAGGTTGACATTGACTGCGAGAGAAAATATTCAGTTATTATCGTTTTCACTCTTCTTTTTTCTCTGCACCAAAAGTATAATAACCTTTGATCTCATTATATGCTTTAGTGCGACTGCTGTATATGATGATCATGATCGCTATTACTAGTTTCTTCTCGTTCTTTTGGCTCATCAACTTTTCTCGCGTCTTCCGTTCTGTTTCCTTTCGACGATCGTCCTTTAATTACCCTTGTACTATACTGTACTATTCTTCTTTCTTTTCTACTATCGTGTTGGTGGACTTATTTAACAGGACATGTCGACACGCGATGAACGCTCTCCCGAGTTTATCTGAACACATACGTACACTATAGCTGTATGTATTTATAAATAAATATCTTTAGCGTAGAACGTAAAATTTTATTCTTCATCCTTGAATAAAGAGAATGAGAAAAGAAAGAAAGAAAGAAAAGTAAGTATTCTTCTCGTTTTCGTCAATATTCAATCGGATTGTATCAAGGTGAGAAAGAGGAGTGTTTAATTTTGTATATGTATTACTGTAGATGAAAAAACGACGACAATGTTTAAGACTGGTCAGATAAAAACAAAAATTATTCATTGGCTTATTTTCTTATTGAATTATCTATCCGCATAAAAAAAAACCATGTTCAAGTGTTTTCCAATTCCATTTTGTAACCGAAATTTAGAACAAATCGATAAACGTCATTGTAATTTAACAACAGTACCGGATGATGTTCTACGTTATACGCGTACATTAGAAGAACTACTACTTGATGCCAATCAGCTTCAAGATTTGCCTAAGGTTTTCATAAAAAAATTTATTATTATTATTACTTATTGGATTCTTTTTCTTTAATATTATATCTTAGGGCGTCTATCGGCTAACACAATTACGTCGTTTAACATTCAGTGACAATGAAATTCAATATATATCACCTGAAATTGGACAACTGGTTAATCTAGAAGAACTTGATTGTTCAAGAAATGGTTTGAAATTCGACAAAAAACAAAATCTTTCTTTTTTGAAATTAATTCTTTCTGTCTAGACATAGCGGAAATACCGGATAATATTCGGCACTGTCGATTATTGCAAAGACTTGATTGTAGTGGGAATCCTTTGGCTAATAAGTAAGAAAAAGAGGAAGAACAACTTTGGTACGATTATTAAGATTATTATCTTGTTTAGTCTACCAGCGGGTATCATCCATCTTCGACAATTGTGTCAATTGACATTAAATGATGTTTCACTGGCTGAATTACCAAGAGATATTGGGAGGTAATTATAAACAAAATCAAAAAAAAAAGAAAGAGATTTCGATATTAATTTGCAATTCACCCATATACATGATAAGATCTTTATTAGATCAAATAGTTCATAGAATCTAAGATATGTAACGTTGTTTTTCTTTTGGAGTTGTTTTTATTACAAAATAATTACCATTATTATTGCCATTTTGGTTGAACTGATAACAATCAAGCATTAACGAAGTAGTCAGTAATGATATTGTTGGCATTTAAAAGTCAATTTTTGTTTATGCATTATTTGAAATAGAATAACGACAGTTTATGGTGACATTTATGTAACACATTGAATATTGAATAGTATCCGTAGAGACTGCGGAAGTATTAGTTTCCTATTCTTTAGAGAATATGAGTTGAATAGTTTGTCGAAATCAAAAATTTCTTTTCTTCTTTATAGTGATCATAGTTTGAAAGAGACTTCTGAATGAAATGTGTGGAAGCATTCTTGTACGAAAACAAAGTTCACTGATAGTCGAGAAAAATTCCTTTTTTTTTAAATAAACTTTCTCAGATATTGAATACATTTAATTCTATTTTATCTCGGATCGTTGCATTCAGTAGTGCAGAAAATACGATAATATGAACTGGATTAATTTATCTATTTTTAGAGTAATAGAATTATGCAGGTCTTTTTTCTGGCGTAGATACATTTTTTGTTTATTCAATGTTTTGTAAGATCAATAGTTCGGATTTTTTTAATGAAAGTCTGAAATGAGGTATGTAAGTCAGAAAAAAACCAACAAACCGCGGTTCTTTTCAATTACTTTCATATAAAAGTGATTTATAGATTGAAGTGGATTAATATGAAACCTTTCAGAATCTGGCGAGCAGCTCGTTGAGTAATTCAATAGTTACATATTATAGTATTGATCGAAGAAAATTTGATATTTAATCTTGTGTATAAATAAAGTTTCATAAGTAATTGTAACTGTCTAAGTCTAATAGTTCGAGAATTTAACTCGATTTTTACAGGTTTCTATTTGATTTTCGTGAATTTTTATTTAGAATATTCCATTCATTTAATATATGCGTGTAAAGTGAAAGTACTGTAGAATGTTCTGAGATTAAGATTATGAAAGAAAGAAAAAATATTCGATAAATGAGTAAGGAGCAAAGATAACACACGTCGTTACGGCAGATAAAAATTCCTGTTCTAAAAATGTTTTTTTTTCACATGCATTTATTATAAGTACTGAATTGAGTTCTATCCGGATATAGGTTAGTAGTAGTGGTACTTATCTTTAATTATTATGTTATGATTTTTTCTTCGAAGTGAGAGTCTTGAATACGAATGAAAAATTTCATAGGAGAAAAAAAAACTATTTTCTGATATTTTGTTTAGCCTTTCAAATTTACGTGTGCTTGAAGTTCGAGAAAATTTGCTCAAAGTTTTACCTGATTCACTTGTGCAATTGCCTAAACTTGAATCGCTTGATTTGGGTTCAAATGTAATTGAACAACTTCCAAATCATATGGGTAATTTACAATCATTAAAAGAATTATGGTTGGATTCGAATGAAATACATGAATTACCAGTTGATATTGGTAGATTGAAACGTTTACAATGTTTGGATGTGTCTGAAAATAAATTAACTTATTTACCGGAAGAAATTGGAGATTTAGACTCATTAACAAATTTAGAATTGTCATCAAATCAAATCGAATCTCTGCCGGCAACAATCGGTCAACTTAAACATCGTTTATTAATATTAAAAATAAATTCGAACAGTTTAACAAAATTATGTGAAGAAATCGGACAATGCTTAGCATTAACAGAATTAATCTTAACTGAAAATGCATTAACTGAACTTCCAGTAACAATTGGTAACTTGAAAAAATTATCAAATTTAAATGTTGATCGTAATCAATTAACACATTTACCTGTTGAAGTAAATAATCTTTATTTTTTTTTTAAATAAATTATTTTTTCTTATTTCAATTTTTAGATATCTGGATGTGAATCTTTGGGTATGCTTAGTTTACGTGATAATCGTGTGACACAAATACCATCGGAATTATCGAAATTAAAACATTTACATGTTTTGGATTTATCCGGCAATCGCTTATTAAATTTACCATGTACATTACTTGAATGTGATTTAAAAGCAATATGGCTAGCAGAAAATCAAGCACATCCGATGTTAAAATTTGCTACAGATATTGATGCAGTAACCGGTGAAAAAGTAATCACCTGTTATTTACTTCCACAACAACAATATACAACATCTTCGATGGGTATGTATCATGTGGCTGATACATGTATTAGTCATTTTGTTTGATATCAGTAATTTTTTTCTAAAATCAATTCATGCCGATTTAAATTTTGAATTGATTATTTTTTCAACGAGTAAAATAAAACCTGTTTCTATAATCAAATTATTTTCCGCATGATGATTATACCAATGCATGTATATGTATATATATATATACATATGTATGTGTGTGTGTGTGTATACCAATGATCCGAACAAGGGTAAAATCTATTTTCTTGTTTAGAAAATTGCTTTTTTATTTGTGTCGGGATTATCTATGGTATGTTTTTAACAATTAATTACTGTTACCCATGTAAAAAACTTGATTTCAAGAATCGATTACAAATCGATTTTAATCATACGATTTTAATCAATAATTTTAGCTGTAATAATCATAGTAAAATCAGTATTTAATCGATTATTTCCATTTTTATTATTATAATCAATTTTTTTAAATATTTCTAATCAATTATAATCATAAAAATGGAAATAATCGATTAAATACTGATTTTACTATGATTATTACAGCTAAAATTATTGATTAAAATCGTATGATTATGATCGATTTTTGATCTCTCTAAAGCTGATTTTTTACATAGGTAGTTCACTATTCATTTTCATCGGTTTTGAGCTATTATTATTTTGGATATTTTTTGCATTTTATTGTTCTATAAGATCGCTTTGCTTTCGAATTATTTATCATTCTTTGTTTTTTATTGTTTAGAAAATCTTCTAAATGTTTCAAAATCTCAAAATTTAAATAATGAGCAAGCCAAAGTACTTCAGGTATCAACATCTCCCACAGAAGAACATCATGAAAGTAAAAGTCCATCTCCAATTGATGATCGACATGAACGTACTGGTTCAGTCAAATTTGCTGATCAATCTGATGAAGGAAAAGAAGTATGAACAAATTTATGAATTCAAATTTTTTTGTTGTAAACGCTTTTGATTTTCTAGAGTTCATTACAACGTCATAATACTCCGCATCCAAAAGATCTTCGAACATGGAGAAATAAAATTGCTAAAAAATTTCATGTTACTGACGGAAATTTACTTCATCACGAACATCATCCCTATCAACCTAATGCTAATAAGCACGGACAACGAGATTCAACACAAGCTTCTCTATCATCACAACAATCCATGTCATCGACGAATCATCAAAATAAAATTACTATAGGTATAATTTTAAAGCGATACGAAAAACAATGCTATCCATTTCTTTTCTTCAGATCCCTCAAATCATATACACGAATCAATTGATTATGTTCCACCTGAAATATCGGCTGATCATCACGATTCAGACGTAAGTCATACAGTAGAGTACAACTATTTAAAAACAAAATGAGCGGCTAGCAAACTGCACTATAGTGTAATTCTACGGTTGGATGGAGCTCTGAAGAAAATACAATCTGAAAGCGTCTATATAAAAGATTATACTATAATCGAACCGGATAAGCTAATGTCCCTTGCAGATTGATGATCTATACTTACTCACCTATGATTAGCATAAAATCAGGAAAGATAACATGCATCGTCGTAATATACCGTTGAAGAAACGTGGGCAAAAAGTATTTTCAATAATATTAGTAACTAAATAGTCACGAGGTGTAGTTGTATGTAAAATAGTTTATATTCCATTGAAAATGTACTCATAAAGTGAAATGATTGAATGAGAAAAAAAAACGCGAGACAGTATAGATTGAATTTCGAAAGATAATTGCTTTTTGATAACATCTAAACTGATTGATGTTGGTTTTTCTATTAATATTAAAAAAAAATAAAGAATTCATTTTTTTTGCAAGGTAATCGAAAAAAGTATCACATGCAATGATTATTTTTCTAGTATTATGAAAGAAATAGGTATTTTCGAGAAAGTTTAAATTTAAAATTAAAAAAATTATGTTCACTCTTTTGCATGATGCTCTTCTAAACCAATGATTGAATAATTCGAATTTGCCTATGTTCAAAAGTTTCGCATTGAAACGGCATTAGAGGTGCATAGAGTATGTTAGCTATCGACTGAAAAACATTTCTCATATCGTTGGATCGATCACCGAAGGTCTAAAAGTACAAATCGATAGGATTTACTGGACGAAAGCACAAAATAGTCTTTGACTTTTCAAGTTAAATAGACAACGCCGAGCTATATCAATTTTTATACTGCCGAGAATTTATGTTACTTTTTTTAAAATAAAATGATTATATCTTCTCAATTAGGACGAAGATGATGAACATTCCGGTGAACAAGTGCAATATATTGAAAAACATGTTGAATTTACAGACGAGATAAATAATAATGAAGAAACTACGAAAGATCATCAACATCAACACAAACTTCATCGGCGAGATACACCACATCACTTGAAAAATAAACGTATTATTAATAAAAATAATGATGCAATTTCATTCGATGTAATGATTTTAGTTTCCTATTGAAAAATGATTTTATTCTTTTCTTTGAATTTTTTAGCAAATCCTATCACATAGTTCAACCAAATCATCGTTAACAAGTCCAGGAAAAGATGTATGTTTACAAAAAAAAACCAACTTCATTTCTTTCACTAAAGTTTTGTTCGATTGGCATCATAAAATATTGTGATCTTTTCACTTATTGGCTACAGCCATAAAATTGTTGTTTAGACATAAAAACTAAGAATAGAAATAAAATAGATCCAATGACTTTACAATTAGATTCGCTCATTATAGAAAGATTAACTCATTTCTCGACAAATAAAACAGAAAATGATTTTGTATTCCGATACAAATTTCTAATGAAATTGACTCCTATATCACTAATAATTAAATTGAATATTTTAGTCGAGATCATCATCTATTCAAGTCAATGCTCGTCCCATGACACTACACAAGGAACAAATAACAATTAATATTCGTCGTCCGCCTAATACTGGCCTTGGCATTAGTATTGCCGGTGGTAATGGTTCAACACCTTTCAAAGAAAATGATTATGTAAAGATAAAAAAGAACACGTTTGTGTATCGATGAAAGTTAATTGTCTGGTTTTGTTTTTCAGGGAATATTTTTAACAAAAATCAATGAAGAAGGACCAGCCGCCCAAGCTGGTTTACTTGTTAGTGATAAACTTCTATCTGTTAATGGAATATCGCTAGTAAATGCTGAACATAGTGATGCTGTAGCTGCTTTAAAAAATGCCGGTGATAATATTGAAATGATTATTATGCGCGAGATCTTACAATCATCAGATGATTATAATGAAAATAATAACATAAAAGAAGGAGAAAAATTTTCTACGGTTATTCAACGTAATGAGAAAAAAGGTGGAAATTTTGGCTTTTCAGTTGCTGGTGGAAATCAAACAATAACAACGAACGGCAACGGCAATGAAAATTTATACATATCAAGAGTTAATAATCAAGATAAAAGTTCACCGTTAGCTGTTGGCGATCGTCTTTTATCTATTAATGGTCACGATACAGGAAGTATTAGTCACGATCAAGCTATTGATATTATTAATAATGGTGGACATAATGTTGAATTAGTTGTCTACAGAGAAAAATTTACTAATGGTAATCAAAATATGATTTCAACAACAAATATTGATAATACTATTGAAGTAAATTTGAGAGAAAATTTTCGGTGATTCAAATATTGTTTTGAACTGATGTTATTTTTTTTAGGAAGCGCGTGTTTCTAAAGGTAATGGGCCAATGGGTTTAAGTATTGTCGGTGGTACTGACCAAGCGTGTCCACCATTTGGACTGAACCAACGTGGTGTATTTGTTTCAAAAGTAAGATAATAAAATAGTGAACAACAGTGAAATGTTCTTCATAACGAAAATATCATAATTGTTAACAATTATTTGAACTAAACTCACTGAGTCATTTCAATGCATAGTCCCTACACTAGACTTAAAAGATTGAAAAAGTTCTATATTATTGAGATAAGAAAAATTATCTATTTGAATAGATTCTGCCAAATGGTTCCGCTTCTCGGACGAATCTTCGTATTGGTGATCGAATATTGAAGGTGAACAATCGTGATGTCTCACAAGCAACACATTTAGAAGCTGTAGAAGCTCTCTTACAACCAACAACTGAAGTTATTTTACTTGTGCATCATGATCCTCAACCGGCAGGATTAAAAGTAATTTTCGAAAATGATTCTTGAAACTTTTCACATGTATTTTATTCTGCATTGACATAGGAAGTTACATTGGCAAGACACACAGGTGAACCTCTTGGCATCCGAATAAATGGTGGTGTTGATGGAAAACGTGTTAATCCAGATGATCCAGAGGACGATGGAATATTTGTAACTGAAGTCAGTTTTCATATTTTTTTCCATTAATTTATTTTTAATAAAGTACTTGTTTTTTTCTTTATTTGCAGGTAAAAGATGGTAGTCCAGCATCAGGTATTCTTACTGTTGGTACACGAATTCTCGAGGTAAGATCAATTGGATTTATTGTTTCTCACTTATTACGACCATGATTGGCATGGTTTCCTTTTTTTTGCCTCATTCGTTGATTAAATCCACATGTAGTTAAGTGATTAAAATATTAGTTTATATTCTTTATGGTTAATGTTTATCACCAAAAAAAAAAATGATTAGTTTATGTAATATTGATCATTCGTAGTTCAATATGATTATCATGTGAATTATTAATTAATCTATCACATTGCTATTTGCTTCATATGCATCTTCGCGTAGTAAATGCTTCAATGATAATTTTGACATAGTCTTTTAGAAAGAAAAAGAATCACTTATTCTAGGCATTCAATAACACTTTTCATAATCGATGGCTTTGTTTTTCACATAAATCATTATCAACGAGGAGTAAATCATCATCATCATCATCATTAATAATGCCAATTGATTACTCAATAAAAGATTATTGTGAAACAAATCTTGATGATATGATAAATTTCAATAGAACAGTTTCCTATGATAAATCATCAAAAATAAAAAATTCGCGATCAAGTGAATATCTAAGAAAAAACCTTCGTCATCGACAACGAAACAAAAAACAAACAAAATCAAATTTCTTACCAAAATTATTTCATAAGAAGAATAAAATAATCAAAGAGAAAAAAGATTTAACATGTACACAACAAATTTTGGTACCAATGACAACATCGAAACATGTGATTTCGACATCATTTTCAGAAACATCATTGTCGTCGTCTAAGGATATAAAACAATTAGCTTTACCAGAACCACCATCGATCATTCCAGTAGAAATAATTGTCACACCTGAGCCTTCATATAAATCTTTATCATATAATCCACCATCACCGATTTCAACACATAAATCATCAGTTCTACAATCGAATACATCTTCATCAAATTATCATTTAAGATCAAGTCTTAATTACAGTCAATATTCATTTGAAGAAGGAACTTTCGATAAAGATTGTCCTCGTTGTTCCGGTGAAGATGAATTATCTATTAAAACTGATTCCAACCATAGAAATATAGAAGAAATTTCTCAGCGTTCATTTAATATTTTACATGCTTCAGAAATGTATTTATCGTCTAATAATTCAATGAATGAACAATGTGATTCATCATCTGTTCTATCTGCAGAATATGCAACGATGGATGAAACAAAACAATTACATTCATGTGAAATCAATGAAATTATACAGGCAATTCATTCAACATTTGATAATAATTATAATCAACGTGATGAAATACTTGATGCTTTAGCGTCATCATTAGAACATGTAGCCGAAGAAACATCTTCCATTCTACAAGATGAAGAAGACATTCTCACTAACATGAATATCCCAGAGCCAGCTCAAGGACTTGATCAGATTTTTGTTCGAGCTGTTATCCATGAAATTATGATGAGACTGTTGAGTTTCCATTTACTTATTCTCATGTATTGCCTATGATTAAATTAGAAATTAGTCTATTAGATAGGTTCTAATAAAATAATAAAAATAGTTTAGTACAACGAATGAGGTTAAAAGATAAAAAGGCCATTTCTTGCTTTTGTTGCTTTTTTTTAATATTATTAATTTATTTAATCTAGGTCAATAATCAAAGTTTATTTGGCGCTCGATTGGATGATGCTCAAAAATGGCTTAGTATGCCAAGTGAAACAATCCACTTATTAATCTGTTATGGATTTAAAATTAAAGAAGTAAATTTGGTTAGTCCAACGAAATCATCAAAACCAGTCGATACGAATCGATCGTCATTAACACAACAATCTAACTCACCGATACCACCAACACGACATAATGGCGTATCATTATTTCATAATGTTTCACTTTCACCCAAAGTAACAAGTCCTGTTTATGCCAATACAAATAATAAACAACAAATATCACCTCAACCACCGCCTGTTCCAGTTAAACCAAAATATCGAACACCCAATACACAATTTATGTCGATAAATGGGGAAAATCATAAACAAAAACAGCAACAACAACCATCGCAAAATGGTTTTGAAATTGATGAAGTAAAGAATTTGATTTTGTAAAAACAAAACCCTGTATGTTAACATGTTTATTTTTCTTTAGTCTGATTTCTCGGTAACAGAATCAGAACGATCATTTAAAGATAAGAAAAAATTTTTTGAAAGTGGATTCAAAGATTCTGGACCTAAACCTAAACGTATGTTGAAATAGAACACTTTTTCTTTAGCTACACATTTTTTTTTCTTTACCATTAGCGCGACAATTTAAATATATCAACGAACACGAACTATTACAAATGAAACAAGAAGAAGGTAAATTCAGCAAATTCGTCTACAATAAGAAAACAAACTTGAATTTTGACTACGATGTTGTTTCATTGCTGATCGAATGTCAAGTTTTTCATAGCAGCTTTTCTAGTTAATATGAATCTATCATGAAGAATTTCTACGATAAAATATTTGTTTGAGCTTAGACAACTCGAAGAAAACTAAGCAGATGAAGTTTTCATTTCGATTGAAATCTAATATTCTTTTTAAAATCACGATTTTCGGTTATTTTCCGCTTGTTCTATATTATCCGATATAAAGTTTGAAATAGACTATAGATAAATGATGGTATTCTTAGTTCAGGTCACTATGGCCATAACAAGCGAACGGATCCAATCCGAACTCAAGAGAATAATTAGATATTCCCTGATTTTCAACGAATTATCGTAGAACACATCAAAATACGGACATAATTCGACAGCAATGACCCTCCAAATGAAAAATATCTTACTCGCCAACTAATTGAACATAACAGAAATAAGCATTGCAGATTTACATTAGAAGTAATACGAAATTTAATCGAGCGTAAAATAACTCATCTAGGCTCGTAGTAGTGATGCGAAAGTGAACGACAAATTAGCAAAAGTTTTCTATTAATTCTTTATCAGTTTTATAAATAAAAACATGTAAACAATCTAATATACGATATCTAATTTTATGAAGTGTCGCAATTAAACTCATGAGTTCTTGTTTAATTATTTCAAATAAAAATAAAAAAATTTTTGTCAATAATTTTAGATCAAAAAGTCAAGACGATGAGTCCAACTGAATTACTTCAATCTCGAACAATGTATGCTGGTGATATAAATGATTCTGAACTCATGCAAACAACACTATCTCAATATCAAACACCGAATTATCTTGCCAAGTAATAAATTTTCTTCTCATAGGAGAAACAGTAGTCTAGAAGTATTTTCTTGTATTTTTTCCAAATTTAGACCAGAAGATGATCAAACAGATGAGGATATCGTCCAACAACAACAACAACAACAACCACGAAAATTACCATCGACTATACGGTAAAAATGAAATGATTTACTCATATATTTATACTAAATACGCATGATATACATATTAGAATGCATTCGCACGAACGAGATACTGCTTCTGCGCATACAATGCTTTCAAAATTAACAATTAGTAGTAAATATAGTATATGAATCTTTTATTTATTTATTTTGTTTGATCTATTTTTTGCAGATTCTGGCATGAATTAATCGAAAATCCTAACAATAAAAGTGATCTTGTTTAAAAAATAATAACAATCACCAAATCTGCAAACTTCTCTTTTTTCCTTTATATTTATGCAATTTACTATTTCTTTGTGTATTGTACATAGACGGAGTTCCTCTCTTTTTTTTCTTTTTTAATAGCGACATTTTGTCACTGTTTAATTCTTAATGAAAAAAATATATTTGCGAAGCAAAAATTTGTCGTATATATACATAACCTCTATATCGTTTCTCTTCAATTAATGAATTCATCATTTTGTTGTGCTTTTTTTATTGTTTCTTCTTTTTTTTTCCTCATTCTTAAGTAAATATTACTCGAATCGAATTGTTTATTTGATTAATATTCTAAACAAAAAGATTGAAAAAAAATCTAGTTAGCTTTTCCATTCTCAATAAAATCATTTGACAACATACAATTCGTCATGTATGCAAGCATGTTCAAGAAATCAAAACGCAGAATATCACATGATCTTCGACTTTCACGCGGTTGTAAAGTGCAGTACCTCGCTTTCGATTGCTGCATAAATCGATATTTTCTATAAAATCAAGCAAAGCAATCGTTTGAACGATTAATAGTAAAATGATTTTCTCTTCAATAGATCCAAATTACACTGAAAGTAGAAATTCTGTTTGCTGTTTTAAATCAAATAACCTCGTTATCGAATTCAGAAAAAATAAATGTGGAAACTTCGGATTTCATCCGAGAATTATGTGTACTGCAAAAAGTGCATGCGACATATGAGTCATTCTAGAATGCCTGAACACGAAAATTATCATGAAAAACTAGACAATTTGATTTCTGGATGGAGTTTTTGTGAATTTTGAGACGTTTTTCAGGCGATGTTTCGTTAGAAAGCTATGACTTAGTTCAAAACTAATATCAGATTTAGAATCAGCGTTAAAAACTGAGTCGATTTATATATGTTGTGAATAATTCTGAGAAAATTTTTTTTTTGAAAAATCCCTGTACTCCCCCTCAGGGATGGTCTGATCAAAAATGACAATTTTTTCGACAACTCAGCCATTTCTTGACGGATCCTTCTCATCTTCGAACTCGACCTAGATATTGATAAGACAATTCTGTGCACAAAATTTCAGCTCAATCGAATGTAATTCTGAAGAGTTATCGAATAAACGGCCGGACACACTGACCGATTCTATAGTGTACTCTTTTTTTTTTGAGTACACAAAAA